AGATTTACTGAAGCATCGGCTAAAGGTAAACCTAAGTCATCTTGTTTGCTTAGAAGCAGCTAGTTCTTGCGCTAAACTCACCCTAGTCATACTTATCTTATTACCACAATTGACTTCACAACCTTTTACTCTCCTGCCTCATCACTATTTTTCTTATCCTTAGATACCCTACTATTATTTTTACTTAGTTTAATATTCACTTTTCATATAATACTCTGAAAAGTAAATGTGGTTAGACAGCTTGGATTTTATAGTGCGAATAAATCACATTTTCCAGCTTAATTTCATAAAAGGAACTCAATGTTTTAAACTGAATACCAGTTATTTATTTAAAATTTGACGTTTATTCACTAAGAACTTATGACTTCTGAAATTCTTTGTTTCCAGGTGAATAAAGCTAAACATTTTAAACGCTTGTTTATAAAGCTTCCCTAGATGCCTTAGATTAGTTCTGTACCGCTTTTTTTAAATTTGTTAAGAACTGTGAATTCTCTCCAGAACTAGCCAGCTTTATTGCACTCAAATCCATTGTGTAACAGTAATAATACTAAGTTCTTACTCTCGACGGTAGCTGCTACCTTGACATGATGGTCGGGCTTGCATATAACAATGACCCAATGATCTATACGGGCTGCAACACTTGTTCTCTTGAGGTCTTACCATGTCATAAAGGTTTGTTGGATAATGATCAGATGAAAAGCAATTACCGTTGTAGCGTGAACTGCTACATTAAGGTAAGGGTCTGAGTGGGGAGGTCTTGACTGACAAAATCAACGTAAAGCCTCGCGCACAAGTGCATCGGCTCAAGTTGCCACACTTCACAGTAGTATAAAAAGAACAGGTGAATAGAAAAGGAGGGATATTAAAGCAGATAAGCTTGTTTGACAGAATAAATAATCTGAAGGCAACCATCGGTGTAAATATTGACGCTTTAGAACTTGTCAAAGAGTGAATACATTTGCACCACTGTGACTGATTTCCAACCATTTCACCAAGTCCTCAACCATTGATTCCTATCATCTCGAGGACCCTAACGAGGCAGTCTACATCTTTCCACACGACTGAGATCTACAGTAAGAGACTTCATGGACTAGTATAACATCTTGTTCTGACCATCTTAAACCCTCTTCCGACCTAATTTAACTTCTTATGGGATGGCTCGTTGAGGTAGGTGGTGACTCGACATGCGCAGTACGTGTCCAAACCATCTCAGCCGATGAAGGTTCACAACCTCACCAACCGTCCTGCTTTTCTTGGGTAGTACCCTTTGCTTGGCTGACCTCAACATTATTCACACAGTGATTCCATCACACGGGAGCAATGCTATGAAGATACCTGTGATCAATACTCTGTAATCTCTTCTACTTCTAGTGGCCATGTCTCACAACCGTATGACACGACAGAACGGCCTGTAGCGCAGTGTGCACGTCCTTTGATGTAGTCGGATATCTCGCCAGTCCGCAACACATGTGATACAGGTTAGCAAATGCCAAACGGGCCAACTGTATCAGAGATGAGATTTCGTCAGCAACCAAACCTTGCGGACTGATGTAACCCCCTAAGTAAGTGAAGTAGTTGACATATTTCACCACTTCCTTCATATCATTAAAGTGGCAGCCGTAGACTAGTCCTGGAGAATCTTCTTACAGTTGACAGGAGCAAAATGCATGCCACACGTAGATTTCTGCTCGCGTTCAGAAGATCCTACAGTTTTAGAGTCTTTATCTAGCAGGGTAATATCGTCTTCATACTCCAAGTCAACCAAATGACCTACAGGGAGTAGATCAATCCCTGTAAACTCAGACATACCTAAGGTTATGTCCACTACATCTACAATGAAGTTAAATAGGAACGGTGACAGTGGGCATCCCTGAAGAACACCACTAGTTGTCTTCAATTTACATGATAACTCTTCATAAGCGCTGACGCCGTTGTGTGAGTTTGAGTAGAAAGCTTTGATAAGAGTTATACACTTTCTCGCCGCTCCCTTCACACTCAGATACTGCAAAGTCGTATTAGTAGCTAGATGGTGTGTGAAAATAGCAAGGTGTTTCCCGCGGATGACCACCAGTGTCACTCTGATGTTACCTTTCCCACAGTAAGCGAGAGGGGATTATAAAAGGCTGGCTTTAAAAGTAGCACGCTTTCTTCTACTATGTGACCTACCGGTGGCACCAGGATGGGTTCACAGTCAGATTCAAAACTAACAAACTAAAATCTCAAACTTCTAAAAGTTGCTGCATTTCTGGACAACGTAAAAATCCAAGCAGTGCAAAGAAACAACTGGAGAAACCACTTGTACTGGACAATTAATCAGTCCCACTTTCACAGTATTTCACGTCTGTGTTACAAATGAAAACAGAGAGGTATCTAGTACTTCTCCATTTGGCTATCTAATTACATCATCTTTTTGTAAAATGAAAATCTCACTTCCGTTTTCCTTGTGTTGTTTTCATTGAGAAATTACGTACACGACTAAGTTGTATATCAGTAACTGATTGGAGAAAGATCAATTCCGTGTTATCTAACTCTGAGTGCTGAACGAATTCTATTGATTATCTTGCGAATTGGTTATCAAGCTTCCTTCTGATTGCTTCCAGACGCTTAACATGACTGTGAAAGATATCAGGGTAAAAGGGCCGTGGGATAGAAATGCATCTGTTCTCAACTGTGATGCAAATCTTCGAAGGATTCTAGTCCATGCAACAGCATCCCAGGTCTCCTGAAATCCCGTTCCAAACCCTATGCTGGGACCTTCATTGCCCCCCCCCACACACACACACACTCCTACCATCAAATTACCCAACAAACTTAGCTAGTTGAAACTCCAACATCTAAGGTCACGGGTGTACTGTGTATGAGACACGTATGCAGGATCCAAGTCTTGTTAACTACTGAATACCATCCGGCCAATATAGTGAATATGAAAACTCCTACTTTCGACTTTCTGGAGATCCAATGGCTAGTTCTCGCGGTCTTGCAGGTGGTGTTGCGTTAAATGGAAATGCGGAAAGTGCAGTGCTCGACTGGTTCCTAGATGTCAGTCATCTATGTGTTGTTCGACTGAGAAGCACAGTGGAGAGTAAATGAAAAGTGAAACAGGTCCTCGGCTGTCTGTAATCTCTGCGCACGCACCTACTGACTGCAGTTTTGATGAAGTGAAGGGTGAGTTTGACCGAAAATGTCCAGCCTCTTACTGAAAGCCAAACGTTGAAACGTGGAAGTTGTGGCAGGTGATTTCTAAACGGAAGTGGGTAGGCCAAGTCAGGCGGACAGTTAGGTGGCTCTTTCGGAATTCCAGCCGCACGAACAGGCGACAGTGGTCACCTGCTATAAATGTCCTTCGACAACCATTCTTTCTAGCTATTATGTATTTCAGATATAAAGACAGAAGTTTTTTGATATGGTATCTACCGGTGTGAACTGATTAGGGGACATAGGTAGACCACATTGCTATCAGTTATCGCTGTAGATAGTCGGCTCCCTTTGAAGCATGTGTTTGGACAGCGATCACGTGCTGGTTGGAGCACCCGTCTGTCTAGCGCATTATTCTTATCTTAATCGTCACACTGAATTCAGTATTTTCTTATTCCCCTTTCCGCTCTTGTACTCCCCCTTACTTTTGACTGGTTCTTCTCTATTTATTGTTTATCTCAGTGCTTATGTTAGGTAATGCTTTGGTTGTGTACTAACGGTGATGAGAAAATCAAGTCTTCTTGTGACTTCTATTTGCATAGGTGCCCGAAGGGAGACAGCAGATCAGAGATAAACAAGGTACAGAGGACGTTCCTAAGCGTGAAAGTAGATAGGATGAGCATAGTTGGTAGACATATAAACAGAAAGTACGTGACAAATATAAAGAATACAGTAGTGGGGGCTAAACAGGCTTTGGTGTTAGCTAGCAGAGGGACATTTAAATAGTGATAAGCTATACAAGCTAAAGTAATTTCGTACACTTAGTTTAAAAGATTTCAAAGAGGTGACTATAATTGCTCTTGTGGTAGAATATTTCAAAAGTTACGTAATCCACGGGTGGATTTTGATCTGAGCTTGGTATTGGTTCTTTGTTGTAGTAATTTAATGAGACTTTTCTGTGACGATTGGCGTATTGCGGTCAAGGTCTCTTTGTTTGCGTGAAGCACTTGGCGGGCGGTCCTGTAAATTGTAATAGGGCCCATTTATTATGAGGTAGCTCGAAACGAATAGATTCAGACAGACTTTCTGAGGGTGACCTAACTTAGTCTCACAAGTGCTTTTAATGCAGTTCAGTTTTCTTTCTCAACGAAATTACAGACCTTCTTGAGTAGGGGGAGAGGTATCAAACTGGTGGGATCGAACTCATATTCTGAAGACTAATATGAAAAGACCTACTATGATAGCATTGAGTTGTCTCGGTAAGTATGCAGCTCACAAGTATGTCACAGCCAGCACTTACTTCAGTAGTTTGAAAATTTTAGGGGAGAAACTGAAAATCCCTAGAGATCACCTATGGATGAACAGTATCTTCCAAAAAATCCAGTTTTTCCCTCAAGCTGTCAAAAGTCCCTAGATCTCGACAGCGCGCCCAAAGTTAATGAAGAATCACTTCACTTCACAAAGCTATCGTTGGGAGTATTCTTCGATATAGCATCCTCCTTTGTAATCGGGTGCGTTTGCATACTTGAAAACTATTAAAAGGCATTTTTAAAAGAAAATCTAGGAAATTTCATCGAAGTTTAGCATAATGCCGAAAGTTTCCAAAGTGCGCCAAAACCTGATGCTACCTTAGATTATGCAGGCTGGCATTCGCTTTTACTACCATTCCTTCACAGTTAGAGCTGGCGTTAAGACTTTCAGGGAGGATTAGGACACGCACCTTTTCTGTGGACAGTAACGACAGTATGGTTTCTTATTTAGTATTCGTCAATGTTACCACATATGACCAACCCATAAACATAATTTCGGAATGTCAACGATGATTAAATTGACAAACTTGATGAGTTTACTCCTGTTTTACTTACTATATCTATAACTACAGGTTGGTTTGTTATAACATCATATGAATCCATAGCTCCACAAGGTAGCGAGCAAAATGCAAATGACGCACCGCGTCCTAACCAATATCCAATAACTGCTTTGCAAGCTTGTTCACATCTGCTGACTTCTTTGAGTGTACAAGTAGATCTTACAGAACGGTTCAGAGTCTTCGATGAATTTCGACCACGTAGATTCTGTCGTTCCCCTGTTTTAGCTCTGTCAAACCCAATATTCAATATCTGTAAGAGCTAGTATTCAAATAGTTTAAATGTTTGTTGACACAATAGGACAAACTTTTGCTTAACTGGCTTCCGCTTCAAAAATCGGTGGATCACTGCTTCCTGCGATTGTTAACCTGTGTACAGGTAAAGAGAGAGGAAGAAGTGGCGTTTAAACCCATTAATTTCTTCGCGCTCGCTTCTGGGTCTTGTGTAACAGCTCCAAGTCTTTGAAGGATTTTGATGCAGTACAGCCGCACACTCTCCAGCTGTAACTCTGGTATGCCTGGCGGGTGGCAGGATGTCGTATCACAAGACAGCTGTTCAAATTCACTTCAAACAGACCTAGAAAGGAAGAAAAGCTGTCCGGTGAAAACATTGGAGATGAGGTGTGACGAAACAAGGTGAAAAGAAGCTGAATAAAAGGGAATGAGAACCACAGTTAGATTCAGAGAGTAGAGCCAAGGTGTGAACGCACATGGGTTTTCGCGCTTTGGGGATTCCACTACTTGTCTGTTATGGATTACCCAGCATTTTGTAAGTCATTATCAAGCCATCGCGTAACCCAAGGTAGTTAAGAGGGTGGAGCTTTAGGTATTTCAGCCTTTGCTCCTATGGTTTCTGCCGGACACCCAAAGCGTCCTTCGTTACTCGCCTCTAGACTTTCTCCAGTGGGTTCACATCTGTTCTCAGGTATGGTGGTGCAGTGGCCTTGTAGACCTCTTGATGAGGTGTATGGGTCATACAGTTTCGGCAAACGTTCTATGGTGGGGACATCTAGTTGTCTGCACATGAAATGCAGCACTGAATGGGCTCCGGAAGCACCTTCTGGATAAGTGAAGCCGGTGCTTAGCTCGCCAGTCAGTATAAGCCCCAGGTCTCTCTCCATGGTCATGCGGGGAAGTTGCGTACCACAGAGAGAGTAGGATGCTCCTGAGAGTTGGGAGTGCAAAGGAATAAAGCTCGGGATTCGTGCAGGCCTAATGGCAGTCCACTGTTATTCACCCACTCTACAGGCAATCTGAACTAACTTTGTGATGCTCTTGGTTCTGTTTTGGACGTCACTACCCCCTGTAGCCTAGCGTCGTTGGAGTAAGGTAATCTGTGACAGCTGAGACTCTGTGAGAGGTCACTCATAAAAAGAAGTAACAGCAGCGGGCCCAGAATCGCTCTTTGAGACGCACCAGATGATGTTGTCCCCAATTCCGGCAGACCCTGTTGACTTTTGTGCGCAACTCTCTTCCGTCCAAATAGTCCTTCACCCAGGAGAGCACCGGACCGTTGATACCCAGTCTTGCTTTTTGTGTATGAGAGTGACACATGAAAATGTTTCAAAGGCGTAGGCAAAGTCGGGAAAATCGTATGAGCAGTGGATTGGGTGTCGCAGCCTGCCGTTCACTCACCACTGGGTACCAGAAGATTTGGTTCTCAGTATCTATCCTTTCGCGAACCGTGTTGAGCCTCACTTAGTGTCCTCTTTTTGTCCAAGTACGGTCCGATATGGTAGTCTGCCAGGTTGCCTATTACTTTAGATAGCGCTGGTGAAGGTATTATAGGTCAATAGCATTTAGGGTCCTTCCTGTCCTCTCCCTTGATGGTGGTAGGGAGGAAGAAACGTTTCCAATCTCGTGGGAGCATATGTTTATGTAAGGAGTGCCGGAACAGTCTACGGGGCGGACCGCATGCGGCGGCCGCACACTGTTTCGACAAAGACAGTTGCTGCATCGATCCCTAAAAGTCATATGTGCGGTGTGATCTGACCCTACCCAAGGTCTCCACCCATGCCATGTCTTCGTCCTAGTCTCATTTCCTGCTCAAGGCTTGCTTCCTCGCATTCTTGTGACCACTGGGATGCTTTTGGAGGTGGCCCATCCAGTTATATCCCACACCAGTTTCCATCGTTGGTCGGTCGATAGGGAGGTCGACCCCTGGGGCCACGATGTTGTCGACGCATGTTGGTCCGTCGCCATGCAGTTTTCTTTGCTATGACAAAGACAGGGGCGAGATACCTTCCGTGGTAGCTATTCACCGATCGTTAGATTAGGCAATATCATACTAGGATCGCTGCTGACGAGGGGGGTTTGCCAGCAGATGACCGCTGGTAAGAGGCTGGCCCTGTTAGGATGATTCTCCACCCAACCCCCGGAGGGCGCCATTGCCAATACCCTCATGCAGCCCAGCCATTTTGAGGGCATTGAGTAGGTCTCGGTCAAACGTCCGCCTTTAAGTTGCCCTGTCTTGCTCAGGGTTGAGAGTTGGGGCATCGAAATCCCCCTCTGTGATGACGTGGTCACGCCCTATTGTTGTCACTGCGGATATTGAATGGGACAGCCGTCGATTTCGTTCCAGGTTCACAGTTGGGGCTCGACAGCCCCTCTGTGGGCACTAGGTGTGCTCGGCTATGAAGTGGCACCAGACTAGGTCTGACGTCTCTAACTGAAAGGTTTCAGCTGCCCGTTTTTTGGCATGGCCACCCACGAACACTGCCACTGCACCTCCTCTGTTGCATTTCCCCTTCTCCTGAACAGACGCCCACCATTTACTCTAATTTTGCTGTTCCCAGTATCCGGCTATAACCAGGTTTCTGTCCGGATTATAATCTTCGAAGCAAAGTCGGGATGGAGAGATTGTGGTTCTACCATCTTACCTCTAAGTCCATTCATATTACTGTAAAGACACTTCTAGGTGCTCCTCACAATATGGTGTATTTTAGTCGTGGCGGATCGTGGAGGGTTGTGTGTAATGGTAAAGGTCGTAACCGGCTTGTCAGTTCCAGTGAAACCAACCCAGCGAGGTTTATTTCCACGGTGGTTCCTGGATTTACTATCAAGTCAGAGTCAGTTTTGGACGTCATCATGTCTATTCACAGAAATGGTGACCTCAGCTTGAAGGGGGATTGTCCTTTGGTATTGTCGCAGTGTTATGGATCAGCTTGCACAATGGTGAACTTTCCCTTCTGATGCTGTCCTTGACTGCACACCATGTTTGCAGCGTTCTGGCCAGAAGCCCAGGCCATTCGAGGTTAACAGCCACCAATCTAGGTAACACCATTAATGTCAGATGCAGGGGACAACGATGCCTGAAGATCGCTGCAACTAGAACTGCGTTTAACCCCATCCTTGCTGACAAACACTACCGTCGTTGAACATTATGAATATGCCACATTATATCTGCTCGTCTGCTTTATACTACACTGTGATACAGCATTGTTTACTTGGTGACGTTTCGAACATAGTTTATTGCTCATAATCATCTGATACTGATATGGTTATGACAGCTAACTCATGCTCAAAACGTCATGAAAAATTCATGCTGTATCACTGTGCATTATAAATGGAATAAAAAAATCTGATATGGAAGTACATCCCACCCCTGCCAACTTTTTACACTTACATCCTGAGCATACTTTTCTTTGGCAGTCACTCTCCAAAATATGTTTCTTGGTTTGTGTATATTCACGTGGGGCTTTTGAACGAAGTTGTTGATCATATGGAAGTTGATGAGCAACAAGCTTTTCAAAAGTAATCCAACCCGCACGCTCATTTTTTGCTTCCAGTTTTCAATGAGTCACCAACCGTGTTGCTCATATGACTGGGCCCTATTTAAAAAGGGGGGGCACTCGAAGCGACATATGCGTCCGCAGCACAAGAACCTTAAGGCCAGAATACCCTAGTACTTATAGGACTTTGCTGACAGCATGCCTAAAATTCTCATGATGACAATCATTAGACTGGTATTTTTCCTGTTGCACAACGATGCATACCAGGCAGAAACTTAAAGCAGATTACCGACCCGGCGAAAGTTGAAAAAAGCGGCAAGCGAGCCCGCCAGAAGTTAATACGCCTGCAGCCATCAGTGTAATAGGGTGGAATTTTAGTAGTCCAGGTCTCAAGAGTATCTCACTCCAAGGTTTAATCCACCGAAGGCCTAAACACGCGAGATTCTCTTCGGCATTTTGACGTCTGGGTGCCATTTAAACCAATGGCCACTTCTTTTTATTCTGCCTTCCAACGGCTAGTCAAGTCCAGTTGCCAGATACAAGGCAGATTTTCAGGCGGTAGGTGATAGCTGGTTCCACTGTTCTTCTAAAATTGATGTTTAGCTTTAAAGATAAGGACCTCAGGCCTTCAGCGCTCCCTTACTAGCAGACCGTGGCGGTTGTCAAACTTCCTCTTCCACAATAATGTGAACTTGTCTTCAGGAAGCCAGCTCCATGATTTGGTTACTGGATGTGAACGTCAGTGCTTTAAAACATTTAGGTTCGTCCTTTGATCCTGTACTTTCCTGCTATACCATCCGATGCTCCCAGGGGTTTGGAAAAAAAAGAATGAGTCGGGTTCAAAATTATTTCTCAAAATTCCGTGCTACGTGATTAAGTTTCTCTGCTAAGAGTGAAATCAACAGCTACTCAACCGCTGAAGCCGTTCCTCGTACCTGAAGTCAGCAAATGAACTACTGGCCAGTTCCTGTATTTCAGACAAAGGTTTACTGTCTGCGCACATTTATTCAATTTGAATTCCACTACAGCTATGTAACGTGCCACATATGTCACATCAATCCTGTCAAAAGTTCCACATCTTGCTCAAGGTCCTCCCAACTTCTAAACCGTAACCGACCGGCAAAGCGCTGCAGTTTCTAAACCTTTTTGCTATGGCTCTCAGTTCTTTATATATCGGTATGGGGGCATAGGACTCTCGCCAACGTCATGCGTTTTCATTTACGCGCTGTACCAACACTGTGATATATTGCAAGGTCTGCTAAAACTCTATTCTTGTTTTTCCCGTAGGCTTTCTGACCTGATATTCGTCTGTGCAGCTTTCGGAGAAGTTTTGGAGCCCCACAACACACTGTTCGGTTCTGGAAAAACTCAGG